ACCTGGTGCAAGGCACAACACATTCACTTGTGCATTCAGTGATATTCTCTCAAGCATTAAAGTGTTCATCCGGCATTGAAGTCACTGGTGTGTCAAGAACAAGAAGACAACTCCACTAAAGGATCAGTTTCACAATGGCCTATGTGTATCCGTAGTTGAGTTGTAATCTTGTTATTTGTTCTTCATAGTAACTCCTATCTTGCTTTCTTAGAAGCTGTTTTAAGGAAACCCAAAATCCATAAACTCTCTGAGTTTATGTTGTGACTAGGTTTAGTCATAAGTTAAAGTCTTTGTAACTAGAGAGTAACTGACTTGTGGTAAGAGTATCACAAGTTAGTTAAGTTGAAGTCTTTTTAATAGAGTCATTACAAAGTGGCTTGTAATAGTGAGATTACAAGTTAGTGAAGTTGAAAGCCTACAAGTGTAGGTCGTGGTTTTTGTCCCCTTGAGTGGGATTTTTCCACGTGAAAATCCAGTGTCTCTTTTACTTACTGCTTCATAAGTATTCTCAGCAAAAACCCATAGAGGATCAGGTGCTCTATAGTTTGGTGGACTCATATAAGCTATCACTAGAGAAGTAGAGGTTGCTTTCAACTGAGGTATGGAATAGACATAGTCCTGCAAATGAGCATGTAATTTGTGTTCTCTGCCAGACCTTCTGGGCTCTAAGACAAGTGAGTCATTTTGTGGAATGGGATCAAATGGACTTTGTGGAAGGACCTCAGGGGATTAGGAGTGTGTTGTCTTTGGAAAAGAAGGTGTATAGTGATCAAGTGAAGGTTGATCATGTGCAACACCAGAGTTGCCTGGGCTTGGTGAATTATCTGCTGTGGGTTGAGATACAATAGTGTGTAAATCAATTACGAAAGGTATTGAGTGAAGAGTTGAGGAAAAAGAACCTGCAACAGGTGAAACAGTAAAAGGAAAGACATTCTCATGGAAGGTGACATCTCTGGATATGTGAATCTTTCTAGTTTGCAAGTTCAGCACCTTGTATCCCTTGGTTTCAAAAGGATATCCAATAAATACATGAGGCACAGTTCTAGGATCAAATTTTTCCTTGTATATTCTTGGTATAGTGGGGAAACACAGGCACCCAAAACTTTTCAAGTGGGAATAATTTGGTTCTTTTTGTATAGGAGTTCAAAGGGGCATTGTTCTTCAGGTATGTGATAGGCAGTTTATTAATGAGGTAAGTAGTTGTTAAGATGTATTCACCCTAATATTTTACAGGTAACTTTGATTGAAATAAAAGTGCTCTAGCTGTCTCAAGAAGATACATATGCTTTCTCTCAACCACACCATTCTGTTGTGGTGTGTATGAACAGGTTCTTTGGTGAACAATACCTTGGATATGAAAGAAGGAATTTGCTTCTGTACTGGTGAATTCCAAACCATTATATGACCTTATTGATTTAATGCTCATGTGAAATTGGGTCTTAATAAAAGAGATAAAGGCTTTAAGAATCTGCAGGGCATTGCTTTTACTAGACAAAAGATGAGTCCATATGGACCTGCTGTGATCATCTACCATAGTCAAGAAATACTTGTAATTGTCATGTGTGGGGACATGATAGGGTCCCCATAGATCAACATGCAAGAGGTCAAATACTTGTTTGGTGCTACTGGCCTTGTGAGGAAAAGGTAACGTAGTTTATCTGGCCATGGGGCATATAGAGCATAGAAAAGGGTGTCTATAGAAAAAGTAGCAGGTATAGTGGTAATGCTTCTCATTTTAGCAAAAGGAACATGGCCTAATGTATTGTGCAACAATATATTAACATCACCTTTATAAGATAAGAAGGAATCACAGTCAGATGTTTTATTGCAAATGAAATTATTTACATTTGAGAAGGAATGACTCTGTGAAGCACTATGATCACAAACACTAGATGAAGATTTTTGTAAACTATTTACTTCACAAGCATGACATGAGACAGGAGACAAGGATGAGACAGATGTAGAATCAGTACTAGCATTCTTCAAGCAGAGGGAACATAAGAGATACAACCCATCTCTGATCTTACTAATCTCCAGAGGCCTCTTCATTAAAGGGGTCTGCAGTAGACAACAAGTATCAGTAAAGGCTATTAAGGATTTAAGTTGTGCAGTTAAGGAAGATATACAGATGACATTAAATTTGAAGGAAGGAACAAACATGACTTTGTGTAGAGTGATTTGAGGAACAAGAAACACACTACCAATTTCTGTTACTTTGACTCTATAACCATTTGGGAGAATGACTAACAACGGATAGGGTAAGATCCTAACATCAACTAATGAAGACTTATTAAAAGTCATATGTTTTGAAGCTCCTGAATCTAAAATTCATGTGTCAGTCCAAGTTCTGAAACATCTACAAGATAATTTGCCAAAATCAATAGAGGATGTGCAGGTTATCATACCTGCGAAATTCATAGTTCCTGCAGCAAGGTTTACAGATCCAGCTTCACGATTTGCATTCTGTGAACTCTCTCCCCCACTACTAGTATGAAAATGCTGAAGGATATTGAGCAATTGACCAGACTATTCCTTGGATAAATTCAGGTTCTGGCTTTCATCCTTGGGTCCAAAATCCTCACCTTTGGCTGATATTTCATCAGGTGAAGTGGAGTGTGCATTGGCCACAACTCTTTTGTTCACTTGAAATTTTGATTGTTGCCTAAGGTCCGGGGGCAGCCATGAAGCTTAAAACACTTATCCTTAGTGTGTCCTGGGCGCTTACAGTAGTCACAAAAGGGCCTTGACCTATTGGTGTTTGGAAAATTGGCATTGGGAGTGTAATTGGTTCTAAAGTTGTTATTTATGAAATTGTTGGCATTTCCTAAGGCATTAGCATGAAGAGAAACAGACTCTGCAACCATCTGATTTGGAGGTCTCATTTCTCGTTGTTTTTCATCCTAGATGAGTAAGGAGAAGGCTTGTGCCATGGAAGGAAGAGGATTCATCATGCGGATGCTTCTTCTCATCGCTGTTTAAACCTCATTAAGTCCCATGAGGAACTGAATTAGTCTCCTATCCTGCTCAGCCTTGTGCGTACTTTCCTTAGCACCACAGGCACACTGACAGCTACACTGTGTTTTTGCACTTAGAGTACTCAATTCCTCCCAGAGTTTCTTCAATTGAGTATAGTAACTAGTGATGTCTAGGACTCCCTGAGACAAGTCATTAATTTTGTTTTGAATTTGATACAATCTCGCACCATTAGTTTGCTCATATCGATCTTCTAATTCCTTCCATAATTCAACATCATCACTGGCATATTCTACACTATCTGCTATCTCTTTTGAGAGCGAATTCAGAATCCACGAGGTTAATTACCATATCATCACACCGTTCCCATTGCCGGAATTTGGGTGATTGAGGATCAGGACGTTTGCACTCTCCTCTAATAAAAAGTTTTGCTTTTAACAGAAAGGCCACACAAAACTGCACGTCTCAAGGATCTATATCCAATTCCACCGAAGGCCACACTGACTAGCATAACTCCAGGATTGTCTGACTGGTGTAAGTAGAGGGGATCACTGTGATCCATCACAGAATTAACAACAGTTTCGGCATTTGTGGTAGTACCAGTTGCATTGATTTGATCGACAACAACCATATTGAATTTCGATGAGATACATAGTAAAAGAGAAGAGTAGAATTTGAGAAAATAAAGCTGAAGATGAGATGAAGCTTACGCCGTACAGATCGATCGAGAATTAGGGCAGATCGAAGAACTCTGCTCAGATTATTTGAACTAGGAGATGTCAGGAACGATTGAATATCGAGTTTTAGCAATTTAGCACACATGGAAAAGGAAGTCGTATTAAGTAAATATATGTAAGCTTGCGCAACACTGAGATAAAAAGGTTTACTGAGTCCAAATAATCATTTTTTAGCATGCCTGAAACAGCATATAAGACCTCGCCCTCTTCAAAATGTATGCTAGTAGACTATTTTCATTTGTTAGTTTTCACATTCTTGCTTTAACTGTGGCAATGACTTGATGTTCATTCTTTAGCTCATAAAAGAATTGATAATTGATCAGAAACTAAACACCTACATAATATTGGACAAATTTGTTAATTTTACTTGAGTTTCACAATTTCGACCACAAAATATCAGGGATAACATAACATGGTTCATTATATAATTCCAATGCTAAAAGCTTTGCGTTTCCAGATTTAGCATAGATCTATAGGGAGTTAAGTAAAGCTCAGCAAACTTTAACTAAAACTACAACCTTCCTTTCAGATAATGCTTTGATGCAGTCGATTGCTTGATCCACTCCTCGGTGAAAAACCATATACGCTCTGAGTTCGAATTTCCTATAAGGATTAGTCGAGAAAAATATTCAGAATATATATACAGTAAATTTTGAGTTTATAACACAAAAATTACTTTCTATTTTTATTTTTTGTAACATAAATCATTCAATTTTGAGTTTGTAATACAAAAATCACATTTGTAAGAATTTTTATCGCATAAAAGTCATTTAACCTAATTCTGGGGTTCAAATCCCGAACGTAGACTTGAGATCGTCAGAAAGGTGAATGACTTTTATGTGACAAAAAATAGAAAAGTTACTTTTATGTTACAAGCTCAAAGTCAAAAAATATAAAAATGACTTTTGTGTTACAAACTATAAGTTGAATGACCGCCGGTAAAATTTAATCCAGCAACTCATGTATCTTCATATATACAATAAAAATACCGTATTCTTCGTCGAGGATATACAATGAGGACAAGACTTTCTTAAAAGATAATGGAAAAGCCGTCTCTCAGGATGGCCACCGACCGGATATTGCGGACTCCAAAAATGGTAAGAGGTATTGTATTCTTATTCTTATTCTACAGAGCAAAGAAAATTCATCAAACTAAATCTATAGCTCCTTTTCTTTCATGTTGTTTTCTCTTTAATACTACTACTTTCTTAGCTGTGGCTCTAAGGGGACACGATGAGCTAACAAAATGGTTCACCAAGTGCAAATATGTCTTCAAATCGTGACATTTTGTTACATTTCCTTTGCTAAGGTATCTTCCATGTACTTTCCAAGCCAGCTTGGCAATCTTGCCAGCGTGGCAGCCCCATGGCTTGCCACGTCATCGATCACGAATCCCGGAACTTTTGTTATGGGATCATCAGAGTTGACAATTCTGAGTACCTTAGTTCCATTTTTTCCAAATTGGCACCTAAAGCTTTTGTTACCAACCCTAGGTCCTCCAAATGATATCACTGTCACCATAGGCAAGTGATTAAATTTTGTTGTTATATCGTATGCTGTAAGTGTAGCTAAGGCAGCTCCAAGACTATGTCCTGTAACTGTTATACTGAGAATGCTCGCAATTTCTTCTCTTATTATATCTTGTAAACTTGGATTCCCTTCATTTTTCGAAGTGTACAGGCTCAAGAGTCCACTCTGTACCATGGGTTCATGACTATTTTCATTTTGAGGTGCCATGTCATCAGGCAAGCAAGTTAACGTGGCACGTAAATTTTCAAGCCATTCTGAACAAGTGGCAGTACCTCTAAAAGCAATCACCACGTCTCGGCGACCTAGCCGGGCAATCTCGTCCACGTCATCGCATACCGCCACGTAAACAATCCAGCTGCACCGCGGCGACACCAAATTAGGAAATCTCTCAGTCCACCGTGGCATTTGAACAGCACACGTGGCAAGCAAGTTTTTTATGACCTTATACCCACTCTGACCTAGTCCGCAGTGTGTCAGCATCGTACACGTTGGATACCGACAGGTCGTATACGTGGCTGATGACGTGTCAAAGTCGAAGCAGCAATAGGCTGCTTCGACAAACTCTCCATACCTTAGAATCTCCTTGCGAAGATCATCGTCTAGTGGATCAAGCAAACCATCCCAATTCTTGATTCCTTGAAATTCCATCCACCTCTTTCCGAGTTAGTCTTTATCGTCAATAATGAGGCAATTATGGTCGGAATTGCTGATCTTGATACTCCGAGCAGTACTCAGTTTTAGACTACTGCTCGGAGCATAACTAATTTTAGAGTTGCATTGCCAATTAGTATTAGGCATTGCAAGTCCAAAATGCATGTGGTTGGTTAAAAGTAGTTGATTTGGGCAGTGCATTTTATATATGTTGCAAATTAAATTTGCGGTTAGTTTGTATAATATATTTGTGTTGAGGAATACTATACTCACATTTTGGCTAAATTTATAGTTGCTAATTAACGGAACTATCCCAAGTCAAAAGAGGAGGTGGTTGTGGGGAGAATATTCTTAGGGAAAGGACTAATTGATAGAGAGGAATTAGGTGCATTGAGTTTTCATGGGATAAGTATAATCTGCTTAATTTGGTGGGGACAAAAGTGTTAGCAACTGAAAGATAATGCATGTTGGATTTAGATCCTTAATTCTACTTCTCTTAAATCTTAATTTTTTTGGGAAGATCTTACTTTTAATATTGATGACGAATATAAGAAAAGCAGAATTAATATTAAACTAATGAAAGCAACATGTCAAAACAATGATGAAAGGAAGGATAAAAAGTTAGTACTATAAAATTTGAAATGTCTCAAATTACCATGGAGCAACAAAAAGGACGACGGAATGAATATACTTTACAATCTGACTTCGAAATTTTTCCTTGCTGACGCCAAATACTAACGGGGACTAATAAAAGATAATAAAGTTTTAGATTACATATGTACAGTGTAAAACTCGTTTATACTATCATAGTTATTTAAATAGTTCATTATTTTATGAGTAACACTCTTTAAAAGTTGGATTAACAACACAAAAATGACAACTAATCTTAGGCAACCCCCCCCCCCCCAAAACTAGGCACGCATTATTGGTTGTATCCTTAAATTATCCGTGGTCTTACTTACCCCCATATACTTGGTTATTCGATAGTTGTTACCCCTTGGACGATCTCATCCCAAGAAAGTGGCATGCACTCACATGCCACGTGGATTTTCCTGCTCATGTGACAATTTTTTTGGAATACTAAAATATTTTGTTTACCCTTTTAAGTGTGTTAGTACTTTTTTAATCTTTTTCAGATAATATTTATAATAAAACTACATTATTTAGGCTAAATATATTTATTTGGCTAAAAATAATAAAGTCTTAGTTATTCATTTTTGAATTTGACTTGAAAATAAAGATTTATACAATTGAAATAAATAAACAAGGATCTAAAAAGATATAAAAATACATAGTTTGTTATTATTTTGGCTATAATTTCTTATATAGCTTTGAATTATAGAGTTGTAGAAATAAATATGTTCTTTTTTTACAGATTTTAACTGAAAAAGTAGAAATACACAATTGAAATAAATAATTATTGCATCAAAAGAAGAAATAAAAATAGTGTACAATTGCAAGTTCACTATTTTGGCTATACCTTTTTTAGTTGGTAAAAGATAATGGAGTTGTACACAATTTTTTTACTGATTTGACTCGAAAATAAAAGTACTCAACTAAAATAAATAGAAACGATATCTAACAAAAAAAATAACACGAAATACACAACTAGTACTCCATTATTTTTACTAATTAAAAGTTTTCTATTTGGCTAAAATGATGAAGTTCCAACCAAACTTTTTACAAATTTGACCCAAAAAAAGAAGAAATATGCAGTTGGAACAAATAGACATTATATCTATAGAAGAAATAAAAAAGAATAAAAGTTAGAGTAAAGTCCACATTGTATGCTAAGATGAAGCAAAAAGAAATATATAGTTGTCGCAAATAAATCATTATATATGACTATATGACAATTAAAAATTAAAAATAACCTACTTGGAATCTGATTTTTCGATTTTTCTTCACTCCCACGCGCTTAAAAGAGAGTGCACCCACACATGGGCGAAGCTACACTACGGTATGACCATCCTTCGTCGGAAAATTACACTGCGTATATAGATAAAATATTAGGTTTTAAAAGTATATAACATATATTGAACACCTTTTGTCGGATTTTTTTTACTTCTTTCAAGTTTGAACACCCTTAGAAAAATTTCTGGTTTCGCCAGTGCACCCACACTCTATGCCACATCAGCGTCCAGGGAGGTAATGGCTCTCAAAAGGCCAAGTTCAAGGGGGTAATTAAGACCACGAATAGTTTAGGACTGTAACTAATAATTCGTGCCAAGTTTAGGGGGGTTTTAGGTATTCCTCCTTAATCTAATAATCTTATAATCGATTAAATTGTATTTTTTTCTGAAATTTTTGTGTGCTTCTAATAACACATTTTCTAATGCAAGATCTCCCTCTAGAACATTATCCTTTGTGGATTGATATGCAGGATTGCAGGGCTCTTTTAGAAATGCATTTGCAACAGTTAACTCTTTCGTTAGCTTGATTTTAGACTATCAAATTGGTTTATATATAACCTCTGTAATAATTTGAAAGATGCCTGAACAATTCGCCTTATCAGACAAATCAGACCTATTTTTTCACAATAGAAAACCGTTAGTGGGAGGGGCATATTTGAAACAAAAGATAATGATAACTATAAATGTAATACAAATTGCAAACATAGGGGTGTATTTGGACGTTTTCCTTTTAAAAAAATATATAAAGGTAAGATATCTAAATTCACAACGACAACTAATATATTTTGAGATTAGGTCATACATTGAAAGCCATCATTCTTCTAAAAAGAGGAGTACGTAAACATTATATCGAAAGAGAGATAGGCATAAGGTCTTTTAACTAAAGAAAGAATTCACATTGAAACTATGACCGAGAATCTTATGTAATTTAGATCGTGTAAGAATATCCATAATAAAAGGTATGCTCCAATTTTAGGCTCTATTTTTGGGTTAATTATAAATTAAAGTGATCCCCATAAAGTTGGTAAGGTTCCATGAACTTCACATAAAAGGATTACTACTGAAAATCATCAGTATTATTTTTGGATCCTAAATCCTATTCGTTTATTGGGTCTCATGCATGGAATGTTGGCTCATAATTATATTGTGTTTTGGTATTAAAATCTGTTGACATCATTCAAGATTATTGTTAACTAGACGAAAAGATGCTAATCCTCAATTAACAAGTTATAAAAGTGAAAAACCTCAGCTATATTTTAGAACGCAAGTTTTGATAAACTGGATAAGTTAAGGTGGCTATCGTCATATAAAAATTAGTACACTAGTACTTATTTTAGTCATTAGCCAGGGATAAAAGTCGAAATGCCACTTCGGAATTCGTATAAGGCTACGTGTTATTCCTTCCTTCTAACCGAAAGTAAAGATGCCAATTGCCAAGTATGTCATAATTATTCTTCAATCTTTGTGTGTCTAATTAGGGAGAAATTTAAAAATAGCCAGATTTATAAGTGGTCATTTAAAAATAGTCACAGTTTTAAAAATAATCGAAATTTAGCAACTTTTCATGTAAAGATAAATCTGAACGAAAACACTGTTCAAAATCCGGAAAATACTCTAGTATAATATACTAATATACTGGACTTCCGGCATAATATACTGGAGTTCCAGTACAATATACCGGTCCAGCATAATATGCTGGAAGTTTATACACAGGTGCTCCAATCTCTAGTATATTATGCTGGAACTTTTCGCGTGTTGGAGTCCAGCATAATACGCTAGAAGTTCATACATAGGTGCACAGTATATTACGCTGGAACTTTCCCTGTTGCAGCAAAATAGTGGTTATTTTTCTATGACTTTGCAAACACTGGCTATTTTTGAATGACCAGTCCGAAAACTGGCTAGCCCGTGCTATTTTTACATCTAATTATGCTAAACTAATTTGGAATATTCTAACTTCCTTTCTGATTAACTACTTCTGCTATATTATTTTGATATGGAGTTATATTATGAATAATCCTTGGCTAAACTATTTACGATAGTTATACTTGTTCAGTTCCTAAAAGGATACGTGAGGCACCCAAAAAAAAAAAAAAAATCGTAGCATAATATGATTAGGATTTATTTTTTCTTATACAACCAACTTATAAACACTGCATACTTAAGTTATGAACCTAAGGGCTTGGAGTTCCCTATTTGATTGTAGGAGAATTTGTTTGAGATTGGTCGTTAGAGACAAGCGTAAGAGAGATTAAGGGCCGTCGTAATATGAGTGATCACTAAACCACATGACTCGCTTTTATTAAGTTGCATATTTATATGTCGTAATATTGCATGATTAGGGTTGAGATTGAGGGGATCGTTGAAATATATGATCTCAGTGACGTTGTATGTAATACTCTGACCTTCTAACATGTTTTCAATTTGATTTGACACAAATACCATGAGCGATAACCCCTTTCACAGCTTGTTTTATGCTGAAATGGCATGTTTCTCACATAATTTTATGCATGGAATTAATACGAATAAAGCGATTGATCACAGTAAATGAATCTAAAACTCTTGCACATGCAACAAATGTTTTTATGAAATTATATTTTATGCATTGTAGAACTGCGTATAATGTTGTGTATACTTGGCATGTTTATTATGTATCAATATATACCATCAATTTTTGCAATGGTTTAGATATATGAAATAGTAACCTATTTTTAGCAGTCATTTAACTACCTATTTTAAACATGAGGTTGTTCAGATGGTCAACACCCTCCACCTACAGCCCCATGATTGTGGGTTTGAGTCACTAGAGGAGCAATAACTAGCTCCAACAAAGGGAAATAAATTTTTTTTTTTTTTTTTGCATGAAATGATAGCTACAAAGTACTACAATTATGGTGACTGAAAAAATAAAACCGTTACTTCTTGCCACAATCATGTTACAAACAAAATTGCTTTTTCTCTGTTTTGAAGTCTGATCTCTTAATAACATTGACACTTATTACTTACCAGACGATCCTCCAAATGATTTGGCAGCAAAACGTACCTTAGAGCTGCAAGTCAGATTTATCTCTCCAGTCACATCTG